TTAAATTTATAAAATCGTTAGAATTGCCAGCTGATGTGCTATCCTTGTTCTGATATACGAAAAATGTTTTTCACATGCAGAAAAAACATTGTTGACCCGGAAGATCCCCAATGTGTCCGGGTAACACTCACTGGCCAGATGATCGCAGTGTCTCCAGAAGAAGTAGAATTTGCCAAGCAAGCCATGTTTTCCAGGTGTGTAAATGCTTTAAAATTTTATGCCTAGAAATACACAATAATAATAAGCCGAGGTCAGCCTGTGCCATTTGATGCCTCTGATGCAATGACAGTGATTAGTCTCCACTGCCCTTCAGTGGTAATAGGACCAAGCTAGCCTGGCCGTGGAGATCACTAGCAGTGGCAGCAGAAGCCAGGTGAATGCCTCTGGAGAGCACGGCACTGAGCTATTCCAGGTACAATTGCTACCTACTTCCAACCTTTGACGATGCCCTGCCTTGCCTTGAAAAGAGCTGAGCCTTTCTCGTCAACACCACAAACATTTTCAAGCATCCACTCGAAACAAAGCACATTGCCTGCTGGGGATGCCAGCACAGCGTTTCGCAGTGTGGTGTTCTCACCCTTAAATCAGTAGGATGCTGACTTAGATGCAGTTTTACGGACCCCACCTCCACCTGCTTACTGGATCAAACTCTCCGGAAACAAGGCTCAGAAATCTGTATTGTAAAAGGCATGCTGCAGGAAATTGATGTGCATGCTACAGTTTGAGGACCACTGCTGTAGGGGTCCACACAAGTAAGAGGGCGGCCCAGCCTGGAGTCAGAGCTTGTACAAGCTGAGGATGGCGCACACACGCGGGGTGGCCTTTCCACAGGTGTCCATGCAGGGGCAGCCAGAAATGGAGGCTCGGAGCTGGGGTGCGGGCTGGTGCAGCGATGGAAACAGGCTAGAAGGCATTGGTCTGCAGTAGAGGGAGGGTAACACGAAGGCAAGTGTTGAGCTGGAGGGGCGATCCACAACCCCACGGGAAGAGGAAGATCCTGCCCACAGGGATGCGGTGAATAAGCAAGCCTTGTAAGGACACAGAAAAGGGCTAAAGGCACAATCAGAGAAAACTAGAATTACTGGGATTGGATATGGTCACATGAGCTCATGGCTTTCAATACTTAAAGAAACAGATGATGTGTGTGTGTGTGTGTGTGCACGCACAAACGTTTTTATTTTTTATTTTTATTTTTTATTGCTAGCTTTTAAACTCAACTCTAGTTCTTGAGTTCCTCTCTTCTTTCACATGTTATTATAAGCAATGAGAAGAGGCCAGAATCTTCCCTAGATCAGTGGGTTCATTAAGTTCATTTCCTATTTTCTTGTTTTTAATTTTTATTTTAAGTACTGGGATACATGTGCAGAATGTGCGGGTTTGTTACATAGGTATACATGTGCCATGGTGGTTTGCTGTACCCGTCATCTAGGTTTTAAGCCCCCCTACATTAGGTATGTGTCCTAATGTTTTTCATCCCCTTGCCCCCACCCCCCAACAGGCCCCAGGTGTGTGATGTTCCCCTCCCTGTGTCCGCGTGTTCTCATTGTTCAACTCCCACTTATGAGTGAGAACATGCGGTGTTTAGTTTTCTGTTCCAGTGTTAGTTTGCTGAGGATGATGGCTTCCAGCTTCATCCATGTCCCTGCAAAGGACATGAACTCATCCTTTTCTATGGCTACATAGTATTCCATGGGGTATATGTGCCACATTTTCTTTATCTAGTCTATTACTGATGGGCATTTGGGTTGGTTCCAAGTCACTATTGTAAATAGTGCTGCAATAAACATACGTGCACATGTGTCTTTATAGTAGAATGATTTATAATCCTTTGGGTATATATGCAGTAATGAGATTGCTGGGTCAAATGGTATTTCTGGTTCTAGATCCTTAAGGAATCACCACACTGGTTGAAGTAATTTACATTCCCACCAACAGTGTAAAAGCATTTCTATTTCTCCTCAGCCTCGCCAGCATCTGTTGTTTCCTGACTTTTTAATGATTGCCATTCTAGCTGCCATGAGATGGGATCTCACTGTGGTTTTGATTTGCATTTCTCTAATGACCAGTGATGATGAGCTTTGTTTCATATACTTGTTGGCTGCGTAAATGTCTTCTTTTGCTTCATGACTGAAACACCAAAAGCAATTGCAACAAAAGCCAAAATTGATAAATGGGATCTAATTAAACTAAAGAGCTTCTGCGCAGCAAAAGAAGCTATCATCAGAGTGAACAGGCAACCTACAGAATGGGTGAAAATGTTTTCAATCTACCCATCTGACAAAGGTCTAATATCCAGAACCGACAAGGAACTTAAACAAATTTACAAGAAAAAAACAAACAACCCCATCAAAAAGTGGGTAAAGGATGTGAACATTTCCTATTTTCCACGTAACTGTAGACAACAGCATTGCCAAGTCTGCCTACCGCTACATAATGTAGGTCCCCTTACCTCCAGCTTTCAGTAGCCTTTCTCTGCTTTTATTTTTAATTTTAGAGACAAGGTCTTTTTCTTTTGTGCAGGCTGGAGTTCAGTGGCTTGATCATATTTCACTGCAGCCTTCAAGTCCTGGGCTCAAGGGATCTTCTTGCCTCAGCCTCCTGAGTAGCTGGGACTACCCACAGGCACGACCATTTTTGGAGGCAGAGTCTCAGTCTGTCGCCCAGGCTGGAGTGCAGTGGCACGATCTCGGCTCACTGCAAGCTCTGCCTCCCTGGTTCAAGTGATTCTTGTGCCTCAGCCTTCCGAGTAGCTGGGGTTACAGGTGTGCACCACCACGCCTGGCTAATTTTTGTATTTTTAGTAGAGAAGGGGTTTTGCCATGTTGTCCAGGATGGTCTCGAACTCCTGGCCTCATGTTATCCTCCCGCCTCAGCCTCTCAAAGTGCTGGGATGACAGGCGTGAACCACTCCACCCAGCCAGGCACTACCTTTTTTTTTTTTTTTTTTTTTTTTTTTTTTTTTTTTTTTAGACGGAGTCTCACGCTGTTGCCCAGGCTGGAGTGCAGTGGCGCGATCTCGGCTCACTGCAAGCTCCGCCTCCCGGGTTCCCGCCATTCTCCTGCCTCAGCCTCCTGAGTAGCTGGGACTACAGGCGCCCGCCACCGCGCCCGGCTAATTTTTTGTATTTTTAGTAGAGACGGGGTTTCACTGTGGTCTCGATCTCCTGACCTTGTGATCCGCCCGCCTCGGCCTCCCAAAGTGCTGGGATTACAGGCTTGAGCCACCGCGCCCGGCCGGCACTACCTTTTTATAAGCGCTCACTGTCGGTCTCCTCAGGGTCCTTCCAGCTTCCACCCACGGCCTGGGCCCAAAGCCAGTGCCCCGTGGATTAGGGTTTGTCGCACCAGCACCACTTCCAGGTATCAAACTTTGTTCCAGTTATCAGTACAAAAGTAGGTTTCTTAAAACAACAAAAATCATGTTACTATCTTGGCTGCATAATATTTGGGGTGTTATGGCATCAGATCAGCAACTTTTGTTCAAGTGGATTAAGAAAACAAAACAGTTTTGGATACTGTACTTTCAACTTCCCTGTATGTTTATTATTGTTTCAAAATAAATTGTTCTTCAAAAAGATGATTGACTGGCTGTGGTGGCACACACCTATAATTCCAGCACTTTGGAAGGCTGAGGCAGAAGGATTGCTTGAGGCCAGGAGTTCAAGACCAGCCTGGGCAACATAGTGAGACTGCATCTCTACTAAAAAAAAAATTATTTTTTTATTAGCCAGGCATGGTGGCATGCTACTCATGAGGCTGAGGCAGGAGGATCGCTTGAGCCCAGGAGGTCAAGGCTGCAGTGAGCTGTGATCCCGCCCCTGCACTCCAGCCAGGGCAACAGAGCAAGATCCTATCTCTAAAAAAAAAATTTTTTTTTAATAAAGATCATCAGGCCAGGCGCGGTGGCTCAAGCCTGTAATCCCAGCACTTGGGAGGCCGAGACGGGCGGATCACGAGGTCAGGAGATCGAGACCATCCTGGCTGACATGGTGAAACCCCGTCTCTACTGAAAAATACAAAAAACTAGCCAGCGAGGTGGCGGGTGCCTGTAGTCCCAGCTACTCGGGAGGCTGAGGCAGGAGAATGGCATGAACCCAAGAGGAGGAGCTTGCAGTGAGCTGAGATCCGGCCACTGCACTCCAGCCTGGGTGACAGAGCAAGACTCTGTCTCAAAAAAAATAAATAAATAAAAATAAAATAAATAAATATCATCAACCTATTATGCATTTGCTTTGTAATAAATGTTTTTCCCAGTTTGGACTTGGTCTTTGAATTATGTTTATAACATTTTTAGAGATAAAGGAAATTTTTATGAAGTTATAAAAGAAAGAAGTGAGCCACAGCCCCTGCCCTCAATGATACCGCAGCATGTTTAGGGGTATGCATGGGGGAGAGGCAAGTCAGTCAACAGCACAAGACGGGATGTGGCGTTGCCTGTCAACTCCAGCTGGCTCTCACTTGCCCTAGTAGCTCTCAGCCTGCTGCACGACTAGAAATCTTCCCATGAACAAGCTGGTTTCACAGGCTCACCATTCTGTTAACATTTCATATAGAGATGCATAAAGCCTTTCTTTGTTTCCTAATAATGGTAGCCAGCCTCCACTGAGCACTCACTCTCTGCGGGTGTTGTATATGTGGTTCATTGCCTGCTTCCCCACACCGCCCTATGAAAAGCCCCGTCAACATCACCCCACGTGACAGGTGATGAGACAGACGCTTGAGAGTGCCGACAGCCCACTGGCGTCACGGCTCATCAGCAGTTGAACTGAGATTCACACCAAGGAGCCTCGCCCACGACTTGAGCCTCTAGCCACTGGGCTAAGGTCTACAGTCCCTGACTTCCTTTGGTGGTCCCAGGCACTGACACTCAGCTCCCTAGTTTTGCCTCTGAGCAGCTGTCAGCCCAAATGAGGCCTGGAGTCTGGAGGTCCTATGACTTGGCCCAGCGTGCACTCCTCTGATAAGAGCAGCTTTACTGTGGTCTCTCTTTATTCCTACAGGCACCCAGGGATGAGGAAGTGGCCTCGTCAATATGAATGGTTCTTTATGAAGATGAGGATAGAACATATCTGGCTTCTGAAATGGTATGGAGGCGTATCCAATATTTCAAAGGAGGAATATTTCAAAGCAGTTCCCAGAAAGGCCTGATGAAGTAAGAAGAAAGTCCTTGGTGTTTGCACTTAAATAAAAACCTTTTCAGTGATGCAGCCAGCCAGCCATTGACCACTGTCTCTTTGTTGAAGGGTTCGTAGCAGCCCTGCCATCCCCGCAGCAGAATGAGAGAGGGTGAACAGGGAACTCTGTGCTAGATTTGAGATTAAAGTGGTCATTTGCAGATCTCCAACTCACACGGATACTTCACGTAGATAGTCTTTATTCCATTGTATTCAGTCCAGACTCACCTATTCAGAAATCATATAATAGCTGGTGGTCAAAATGACGTTTTGAGATCATTGTTGTTTCACTCTTTAAGAAAAGACAATGCCTGTACCTACAACGTGATTGCTTTGTATTGTGAGAGTGTCTTTGTCGCTTGCTGTGCCAAACGCAGTCTTGGTTCTAAGCTCATCGTGACCACGAAGGAGCTGACTGTGCATCACGCAGCCACCATATTGTTTTTAGGGTGAGGGTGGAGGACTGTGTGTCCGTGGATTACTCCTTCTGCTGGTGGATTGCAGATGCATTATTAGGTCATATTGGCTAGAAGGTACTGGTCACTTATGCAACTTTTTTCCCACCATGACGTGAAAGCAGTGTAAGAACACAGGATGCTTTGTGCACAGCCCTTCTCTATGTAAGCAGCCATGGCAGGCGGGAACCCGGGAGGCGGAGCTTGCAGTGAGCCGAGATCGCGCCACTGCACTCCAGCCTGGGCAACAGCGTGAGACTCCGTCTCAAAAAAAAAAAAAAAAAAAAAAAGAGAAAGGAGCAGCTTTGACATGAAGCTCCCCAGATCCCTGCTGCTCATACCTCTGGCAAGGGTTCCCCTCTCTCATGCATGAACAGGGGCATCCGAAATAAGAAGCTCCCCATTCTGTGGTGGGGAAAGCGGAGAGGGGAGAGGGTGAAGCTGGGAAAGTAAAGACAGCATGTTACAGAAGGAAGAAAGGAAGCCAGTAACTGAGGGCCCACTGCCTGCCCAGCCCTGGGCCAGGCCCTCAGCAGAAGCCATCTCATTTAAGCCCTGTAACCAATGAGCTGCACGTCATCATTGGCTCTTACAGACAAGAAAACTAGACTCAGAGAGGCTGAGTCCACATCCCAGACAGCTCACTGCAGACACGGGTGGAGTGGCTCCCAGAAGACATCCAGTTTTAACAACAAAAGAGTTATTGAAATGCACGGGTAGAAATTGAACCAGGAAAATCAGTGAAGTGATTGTAAAAAAGAAGGACTAGCTTGCCTGGAGATGATGTTTCTTGTTTTTTGGGGGAAAAAAAAAAGTCTCTGAAATTTGATTCTTACTATAGTTTTAAAATTTTCTACATATTATATGTAGGAGCTCCTAGTGTTTTCAAGAAATTAGACTGTACCTGTGTACACTTCTAAGGCCTACATGGACCTATGTATATATATCTAAGACCTCTGATGGTTAAAACCTATAAAGGGTTGAGCTGTCTCAAGTTTTCTGTCTTTCTGTAATGGCTATAAACTTTCTTTGGTAGGTTAGGGAGGTTGTATAACATAAAAAACACATCACTATATGTAGGAAATTTTTCAAGTAAATAAAAGTGTTATTAATGATTATAAACTTTTGCTTAACAAAACACATGATGAGAGTTTGAGTTGTCAAAATATATATATATATTTTTTTTTTCTTTCTTTCTTTCTTTTTTTTTTTTTTTTTTTTGACACAGAATCTCGCTCTATCACCCAGGCTGGAGTGCAGTGGCTGGATCTCAGCTCACTGCAAGCTCCGCCTCCCAGGTTCACGCCATTCTCCTGCCTCAGCCTCTCGAGTAGCTGGGACTACAGGCCCCGCCACCTCGCCCGGCTGGTTTTTTGTATTTTTTTAGTGGAGACAGGGTTTCACCATGTTAGCCAGGATGGTCTCGATCTCCTGACCTCGTGATCCGCCCGTCTTGGCCTCCCAAAGTGCTGGGATTACAGGCTTGAGCCACCGCGCCCGGCCTGTCAAAATATATTTTAATTACCTATTGCTAAAAACATAGTAGGATGCAGAGAATTATTTATTTGTCATAGACCATCCTCAAAAGAATTCCTAACAGTGGTGATTTCTAATATATAAGAATAAGGTACCTCTGAGGGAATTTTATATTTTCGGAGTTTAAAATTATTGCTACTCCAATTTAGAGAAAAGGGGAGAAAGCCGGAAGAACAAATGACGTGCTCAAATGTATTGCAGCAGTCCACCTCACACCTTCATACTGGGAGCTTCGCTGCCCCCGATCCTGTCCTGCAGATAAGGTCCCCTTGCTAGGTTTGCGTTTATAGTCAGGTTCCATTTAGCTCAATAAGGTCACTGCTGCTCCAAAGGACTTTGCCGAGTGGATGCCATTTATAACCGCTGATGAATGTTATCAGCTATTTATCCAAATTACAGGAAATGAAACCTGAAAAGGTTGGCTAAGAATAGTGTTGAAAGTTCATAGTTTTAAGTTTGATGGACTCCATTCAGGCAAGTGTGTTTCAGCAAATCTCTAGAAATTTACACTGATTAAAATTTTAGAGACTGTTCTGGAAGTTCTAGACATGACAATAAGGCAAGAAAAAGAGATTAAATACATACAGATCAGAAAGAAAAAAAAATGTATCCCTATTTAGAGATGACAGGATTGCCTACAAAGAAAATTCCAAATAATCTATTTTTCAAAAAAGAAACTCTGGAACTAGTGAGCGCAGCCATGTCTCAGGACACAAGATCGGCATACAAAAGTCAATTGCATTTCTCTACGCTAACGATGAACATGTGGGGAAAAAACGAAAAACACAATACCATTTGCAGTCACTCCCAAGTGAAATACTTACGTATAAACAAAACTTACCCAGGACCTATGTAGTGAAAATTGTTAGATGCTAAGAAAAGAAATTAATGACCTACACAGAGAAAGACAGATACCATGTTCTTGGATTGGAAGATACAAAACAGTAAAGAGATCAGTTCTCCCTCTCTCCATCTCTACGTTTAATGCAATTCCTATCAAAATCTCAGCAAGGATTTTGTAGACCAATACAAGCTTATTTTAAAAGTTACATGGAAGGCCGGGCGCGGTGGCTCAAGCCTGTAATCCCAGCACTTTGGGAGGCCGAGACGGGCGGATCACGAGGTCAGGAGATCGAGACCATCCTGGCTAACACCGTGAAACCCCGTCTCTACTAAAAATACAAAAAACTAGCCGGGCGAGGTGGCGGGCGCCTGTAGTCCCAGCTACTCTGGAGGCTGTGGCAGGAGAATGGCGTAAACCCGGGAGGCGGAGCTTGCAGTGAGCTGAGATCCGGCCACTGCACTCCAGCCCCAGGCTACAGAGCAAGACTCCGTCTCAAAAAAAAAAAATAATAAAATAAATAAATAAAAGTTACATGGAAAGGCACAGGCATTGAAATAGCTAAAACAATCTTGTAAAAGCAGAATAAGGTAGGAGAAATCATTCTATTTAATATAGAGTTATTACGTAGCTACAGTGCTCAAGAAGTGTGGTATTTGGTGGAGGCGTAGAAACACCCATCAATGGAACAGAAGAGGGAATGTAGAAATAGGCCCACACAAATAGGCTCAACTGATTTTTTTTACAGAAGTACAAACTAATTCAACAGAGAATAAACTTTTCAATAAATGTGGAGCAAGTGGACATCTGTAGGCAAATAAAATGAACCTTGGACTAAACTTCATACCTTATAAAAAAATTAACTCAAAAGAGATCATATCTGTAAACATAAAACGTAAAACTATAGAATATAGAAAATCTTTGGGAACAAAGGCTAAGCAAAGAGTTCTCAGACTTGATACCAAAAGCACAATTCATAAAAGAAAAATTTGATAAATTAAAATTAAACTTCATCAGAATTTAAAACATTTGTTCTGCAACAGACCATGTTAAAAGACCAAGAAGACAGGCTACTTACTGAGAGAAAGTATTTCCAAACCACATATCCAACAAAAGATCAGTATCTAGAATATATAAAGAACTGTCGAAACTCAACAGTTAAAAAAATTTTAATTAGAAAATGGAGCACATGAGCAGACATTTCACTGCAGAGGATATACAAATGGCAAATAAACACGTAAAAAGATATTCAACAGCACTAGTCACTAGGGAACTGCAAACTAATACTACAATGAGCTATCACTACATACCAACCAAAATTGCTCAAATAAAAAATAATGATAACACCAAATGCTGACAAGGATGCAGATAAACTGGGTCAGTCAGATACTAATGGTGGGAATATAAAATGGAACAGCCACTCCAGAAAACCATTTGACAGTTTCCCATAAAACTAAACATGCAATTGCCATACTGACCCTCAATTGCTCCTGGGCATTTATCCCAGAGAAATGAAAAGAGGTTCACACAAAAACCTGTGCGTGAACGTTCATATCAGCTTTATCCATAATGTTTAAAAACTTGGAGCAATCAGATGGCCTTTAACAGGTGGCTGGTGGAACAGTGGGTGGGGCTGAATACTACTCAGCAATAAAAAAGAACTAATTACTCACATGGGTAACTACTGGGATGAATTCCAGAGAATTATGCTGAGTGGGCAAAGCCAATCATAAAAGTTTGCACGCTCTATGATTCCATTTACATAACATTTTGAAATGCAAAAGTATAGGAATGGAGAATAGATTAGGGGTTGCCAGGCAGGAGTGGGGAGAACAAGAGAGTTGCGCATAACTGTAAAAGGATAGCACAAGAGATCCTTGTGGACATGTTCAGTATCTTGATCAAATCAATGTGAAGATTCTGGTTAGGATGTTATACTATAGTTTAGCAAGACGTGCCACTGGGGAAAACTGGGTAAAAAGAACATAGGATCTCTGTATTATTTCTTACAACTGCATGTGAATCTACAATTATCTACAACTGTCTCAGATTCTACAATTATCTCTGAGTAAAAAACTTAACATAAACAAGATTTAAGGCTTAGCTTCATAAGGCATTTGTACTCTCTCTCTTATTAGTCCCTAATAAAATAAGGAACTGAGCTATAGGCCAAAACCTAATACAAAGGGCATTTCATTTGTTAACTGTTAATATATCCATTTGCAGAAGAGATGTAAAATTCTTTAAAATTTTCTTAAATATGTTCCATTTAATGTTACATACAAATTAATAAGAATGCAACAAATCTGCTGTATAGATTTTAAGTGGGTCACTTAGGAGGAAAGGATATCTTCAAATTTCTGATATAAACATGTTGAGTAAGCTATAGGTGTACATGAGTATCCAGTGTATATAATGATTCTCCACTGATTTTATAGAGAAGAACTACATTTCCAGTGATCTTCCTCTAAATATTGTGGGAAATAATTCTGTTTTAGTGAATAAGCTGATTAAAGTCTATCCAGACCACCATATTCTTATTTACAGTGACTGTACATATCCATGATTTTGACATGTAGAGTATAATTCTGATGTTACTTATTTCAAAATGCCTTGTATATATTAGCTGTTTATAAGACAGTCACTTTTTGGTTGAAAAGTATTTCTAGGCTGGGCAAGGTAGCTCATGCCTGTAATCCCAACACTTTGGGAGGCCAAGGCAGGAGGATCACTTGAGGTCAGGAGTTCAAGACCAGCCTGGGCAACATCGCGAGACCCCCATCTCTACAAAAAATGTTTATTAAAAAAAAAAAAGCCCAGCATGGTGGTGCCCACCTGTAGTTCTAGCTACTTGAGAGGCTGAGGTGGGAGGATTGCTTCGAGGCCAGGAGTTTGACACTGCAGTGAGCTATG